TTTTTGTGGAAAAAAAGAGTTGGATGGGAATTTCTAGTGATATAAATCTGGTAGTGGTTCAGTTTGATGTGCAGCAGGGTTTGGGTTGCATGATCTTTTTATGGTATTTTTGTCTCTTAGCGTAACTCTCATCCGTAGCGTGTTGTGTAAGGTTGTCAACATTTTTCCCCTTCTGTCAGTTTTCTTTACTTTCATATCACATTTATTACCTATTGGACTATAAATTTTCGGGAGCCTTGAAAACAGAGGATTGAACATGTGAAATACTTTCGATGTCAGCTAAAAAGCCATCTGTACGATTCTATTTTAACCTTATTTATTTATCTGCGAAGTAATAGATCATTAAATCTGATAACAAACGTGTTTTACATCAGTTTGAGTACTACACTTCTTCAATTTCCATCTTTCAAATGGAGGCAAGGTTTTGGAAGTTGCAGATTGCCAATCACTGGTTAATTTTTAATCCTTTCTTTTTGTGTATGTGCAGCTGCTGAGAATCAAAAGGTTTTTTTAGAAAGCTTACAAATATAGCTACTTATTTGGATTGGGGAGGGATGAACAGCTGAGCTGGAAATCGGAAGTATCATGCTAGTTTTGCTGAACTAAGCTCAAATGCAGCAGTTTTTTTGTTTCTTTACTTGTAGGAGTTGTATTGCGTTCTTTATAAGCTTCCTAGCAACTGCATAGCTTTGTTACACATGATGGTATAAGTTACATTTTAGTATGAAATCTGTGATACTGTGTCTTGACGGTGTCATGCAAACGCAGTAGTGCTGAAGCCCAAGGACTAGTTAGGCAGGACCCCTCTCCTGCTGACACCCAGCCGAACAGGGTTTAAGGAAGGTCACAGCTTCTGTTTATAGTTTCTAGATAAGTATGTTTCACACATTCAGTTCTGTCTGGTGCATAGGGTGCTTCACTGCATAACCCAGTGCTGGATTGCTAAAATCTTTTAGCCCATTTCAGGTCTCTGTCAGACAAAAAGTGAAGGGAAACAGTCCGTGGAGGTCTGGAACTCTCTTCCTCCTTCTCTGGAAGTTCAAGCTTCGTCGATATGGAAAATGTCCTTGTGAAGACTGGCTTGTGAATACCTCTG